AAAAGTGTCTTTTTACTATGAATATAAACATGCGTTTCAAATAAATCAATTTATGTTTAAATATGTAATAGCTTTACTACATTTTCGTTTCCTGGAAAACAACAGTATTCATTCATAATAATACAGAAAAATATATTACAAATTTGTTTTCTTTCATACATATTTCATATTATTATATATGGTGTAGATCTCTAATTTATTGATTAATGGTTTATGCATTTATCTATCCAGTTTCTCGTTTCAATCAATTTTGTTGTCATAATTTAGCTCTTATGAAACTTGTTATTAATAAATTAGTAGTTTTTCACTTAATGTATAATTAATAAATATATACTTAACATTTCTATTCAGAAACGTCTAACGACATTATTAGTTTAGTATAACTTTATATATTACTATGGTTATTTTAAACTGTGTTTTTTTTTATAATTTATATATTTTCTTAATCAAAAATTAGACGCAATACAATTGATGTTTTATTACTAATGGATGTTAGATGTAAGATTATTAATATTATACACATTTGTGTATATATGATTTTATGGAAATATTTATCTTAATTTCAAAGTATTGAAGTCTTCTACCCAATTAATTTAGTCTTATTAGTTTGTATGTCTGATAAAATATACATTTACATACAGTTTTTATTCAAATACTTATTAGATCGTTTTGAAAATAGAAAATAATAATGTGCATTAGAAATTTCTGTTTAGTTTACATTACTTTTAGAAGCAGGCATACAATATTTATTATGATTTGCTATTGGAATTGATGAATTAATGATTTTGTTTGATTCTTAGGGTAAAATTTGATTTGTAAGATTTTTGGAATGGGAATGAATTTGTTTTAGCTCCGATTGAGATTGGTATAGTAGACTTACCGACTGTTCCGACGGAAACTGTTGTTGTAGAAGGAATGGCATCGATTTGGTTGATTTTCTTGACGACGCCGGCTGTCGTCGAACATTGGGATGACGCTGAGGAGTCACAGTCCAGACTTCGCTCTACGTTATGGATGGGCGAAGGACTCTTCAGAGCTGAAATGGGCCCGGTGGTCTTGAACATCGCCTCGTCCTGGGCTTGAGCCCTACGGAGTGCCGTCTGCATGGCCATCACTCGTTGCCTCTCGGAGGTGAGCCGGCACTTCTCGCACTTGCAGGAGCGGTACTTGCAGTACCTCTTGTGGCCCTTCAGGGCGATCTTCATACGATGATTTCGGCAGCGGGCGCAATTCGGTGGCGTCCGCGGCGTCGCCGAGGTGCTAGACGCGTTCACGTCCATCTTCGTCTCGTACTCCTGGGTATCCGACATCGTATCTATCGGAAAGATGTGCTCCTCGCGTGCCACGTGCAGCGTATCACTACTGTTCCTGCTGGTTTTGTTTTCGTACTCTATTCAGCGATACCGAACAAGCAGAGCGAGGAGGACAGGGCGATAGAGAAAAAGAGCGTGCGAGAGGGAGAATGTACGTGTCGGAGGAGAGGGTCTCTGCGGCGCGCAACAGGTCCTGATGCTCTTCTCCTGGATTTGCTTTTCACCCGAAATTCACATATATGTTATGCATATACAACACCACTCACACCACTGGCAGTTTGCTCTTCGTGACCGGAAAACGGGCGGAAAATCGCGGCAACAGAACAGCCCCCGTGGGCCCAACGTGACGATGCACCAAGTGCTACTACTGCTCAGGCTGCAGCTCTTCGGTCCACCAGAAGAGCTCGATCTACGTAATTCTCTATATCTCACTCTATTATCTAACTGACTCTCTCTCTCTCTCTATAAGTATCTACACACCACAGAGGCTGTGGTGATGGAGATGATGATGATGCTGGAGCGGAGAGGAAAAGAGTCGTTCGTGTCCGTCCGTCGGGAGCGTGTTTCGCAAGCGATTTGGACTGCCAGTCTTGCAATGCCAAAGTGAAGTGAAGTTTTAGTGTGTGTGCAGGATTGCATCGGATCGCGGGGCAAAGGGTATATCATTTACGACTTTGGCAGTGGGGGAAATGCATGTGCGGACTGCAGTTTAGAGCCGTGTTTTATGTTGCTATAACTTCGGGAAGTGAGTTTTGACAGCACCTACGCTCTCTCTCCCTCTCACACACAAACACACACAAATCCCACTTCCCTATTTTTTATATATATATATATATTCTAATCCTTTCTTCCACCGCAACCGCTCAACCAACATCAATTCATTAATTAATAAAAACAAACACACATTTATTTAATTATTTCACAAAATTATTTACAATATCCTTATCAACACTCTGACAAACTTCTTCAACAAGTCAATCAATATTGTATATTCATTGATATATTACAAAGTGAGCAAAGCAACATACTCTGAAATTCCACATTGAAATCCTTAGTCTTTCCATATAAAAACGTCCAATGTTATTTGTTTCTAGTACTTTATATAGGTTTCCTTTATATATATATATATATATATTCCTTAACTATTTTTTATTTAATATTTGCTATGAATATGTTCTATCATCATTCGTTAGTTAATTTTATTTCACAATTATGTAATTGACTATTATATCATCTATTTATAAAAAAAAATGGTATGTATATTAATAGAATAACAATGAATAAGCTAGAATATTCACAATTATTTAAAAAACTAATAGTCCTTTGTAAGTATGTAAACAATAAATTCTGTGTATTAAATCAAATATTCTACAAAATAATATAAAAAAATAATAATTAACGTATTCATATTTTTCACCATCAAATATTAATTATTTTCATATCTTAGTTGTAGTATCAATTGTAGATATTTAATTTTTTTAATTTTTCTTTATTAATAAATAAATATTTATTAGTTTATCTGCATATCAAGCTGTTTATTGGCAAAGTTTCTTTAATATTCATAAAGAAGATCAAAACACATTTGTAATTTCAAAAATTGGTTTCATATACAATAACATAAGTTAATTTATTATAATCATTTGTAATGCAAAAGTACTTTGCATTGCTTTGCTCTTTCAATTATATGATTCAATTGCATGAAATAATTGCATCATAATTAAGATTCCTCCAAAGCTTTAACCAATAACGGAAAATCTTGTAGCTAAGGTGCTAATAATTCATTTGTAAACATGTAATTAAAGTATTGACTGCAGTTATCTCTTCGGCAAAACAAAATGCTGGTATCATTATTTCCTTAATTAATCACTTGTTAATTAAATAATTTAAAAAAATCTTTTAATGTTTTAAACAATTGCATTTATGTTTGATTCACCACAATTAAACGATTGTATTATTAATTATAATAATTTTTTTTTCCAATTTTTACTCAATTTAAAATAAGTATAATGAGTATAATGTTAATGATAATAATAATATAATGATGCTAAGTATGTGATAAATAGACATGAGATTGAGATAATACTAGTAATGTATTAATCCGGATCCAGGTGACTGTAATTTAGTAATTAGATGAATTTTATATGTCTGTAACAAACGTTGTTCATTTTTATTTTCAAGACAAAATGGTGGACATTCAGTTAAAGTAATTAAAAAAAAAAACATAGTTTTCCAAAGTTTACGATTAGTTAACCCATAGACATACGAATGAAATAGAAGTTACTACTACTACTTTCTTTGCTGTATTTGTTTCTTTTACTAATCGAAAAGAAGTGTTTAAATTGATTCTATTTTTTTTTTCAAAACCATAGTGTTGATCCTATTCTTCTACACTTTCTGATGAATTCGTTTTATCACTTGTCAGAATTATTGAAAAATAATCTTTACTATTTTACAGATTTAAAATTTTACTTATTTTATTTACAGTGTAATTAATTGAAAATAACATCGACTATGCTTCTTCTAAAGCTCCTTTCGAATGTGTTTATTATTATTGTAATTAATTAACTTAATATTTTGATATTGGGAATATGAAAAAAACATGATTTTATCTTTAAAGTAGTGTTTGAAAAGTGTCCTTTTGCTTTTCTAAACATAGGTTGGTGAAGTGGACCACGGCATTTCCAGGAAATGGCAGGTCTTTGTAAAATTAGCTTCATCACTCGCCGCTCATTAATAATAAGTAAAATAAAATACTTACGTAAGAGACTCCTTTACACTTTATACCAATATTCACTTCTTTGCGTCTAACAAGAAACTGTGATGCGGCACTTCCAGCCACATTGTTTTTCTAAACGTTCTTTTATTTTCAAGTACACATATTGTTACACAGGTATCTTATTAAACAATATCGTTCTTTTTTTATATAATATAATAGTTCATATCTTCTACTCATTAAATACAATATTATTATAATTATATTAAAAGGTAATAATCAATTACAGTTTTTCTTTGTATAATAACAATGATTTTACAAATGAATGGTCATTTACAAATTTAAATTACTACTTAACTTTTTACCATTTATTTCTTCGATTCTATTTCTCACTCAATGGCTATTTTTGTTTTTTTTTGTTTTATATAGTTAAATAATACCCATTTGCGTGTGTTTAACACGACTAAATACTTTACTTTATATATGTTGCATTGGAAACAGATAAAAGCTTCAATTTAACTTAAACATGACTTGCATTGATTGCATACAATTGTCAATCGCATTTGCAAACATCACATGCTATCAAACATTCATCAACCTTACGTTGGTCATCAATGAATGCACTTTGTAATAATTTAGTTATTTTTTTTTTTGTAGAAGTTATGCTGAATACGTGGCAACACATCCATTTTGTTCTGAAGAGATCATGTACAATGCCTCTCCGCAGTCGCACATAGTTATTAAATTTCCGGAATTTCATATCACTCCAGCATCGTCTCCGACGACCTCCTTATTTACTATTTTACGCGGTTTACGTCCCACTTAAACCCGCTCGTAATTGCATTGCATCATTAAACACCGTTTTCGGTTTAGACAATAATCCGAAATTAACTTCGCCGCAACACATCCAACCCACTTTATCCCAAAGGCATTAATCCCAATTAGGAGTAAAAAGTCAACGAAGAGTGAAAACCAAAACTGCTATTTGATTTAAGGAAAACAGACAGTAAAATCTGAGAACACTGAAATTAAACAAAGTCTTACTTTTATCAGAAATATTAAAACACATGAAAAACATGCTGTGATAATTGATTATGTTCATGTTTCTACTAAGAATAGTCATAAAGTATATCGAATAAAGGCATATTCAATTACGACAATGAAAAGAAAACGAATAATCTGAAGAAACATTTACTAAAGAAAATAATTATAGGTGTAATTATTTTAAATTACGTGACTTAAGTATTTGCGATTCAATTTTCTTAAATTTTCAAACTTCTTATTTTGATATTTATCTCAGAAACTTCAAAACAATTTTCATTTAAGGGTATAATCATTCCTGCAGAACCCCTTGAATCAATAAAAATGTATGTTAGGTATAAGGGGTTAAGGCAGCAATTGTGTTTTTATTTTAAGCTTAGGTCTTTCTGCCCTAAATATTATTATTAAATATAAGAATATTTTAGTTGAACAAAAAAATTTAAAAAAATGACAGTGAGACAACTCTTCAGTTACGAATGTCTCTAAACATGTTTCCAGCGTTTTAGTCGAAATTTACTTCAATATAATGCTTCAAATGCAAAAAAAAGGCGACTACCCACGTGCCAGTGGTCACAGGTTGAAATCCTGGTCAATCCAGGCCCTTTGTGAGCACTCTACTTGCTTGCAGCAATAGGGCCATCGTTCATCACAGATGGACAGTGAAATGAATGAGGTTCATCATATGAACCTTCAGCCAAGTCGATGCACAGTGTTAAGGATAGCAGCAGATTCACAGTCAAAGGAAATAGTGGAATCACGGAGCATCAACATACTACTGAAGTTAACCTACAAGACGACAGCCAACCATCATAATGGTAACTTTCCACCGAGACAGATTACCTACCTAATGTAAACCGCGATCTTAAATTTACTCAATGTTCTCATTGAAGAACAAATAAAATTACACGACATAAAAAAATGTGCTCCCAAAAGGTTAATTATTTCTTTTCTTACACTTTTTAATGCTCAAATCGTATCATTGTGATCACTTTCTCATAAATATTCCAGACACTTCTCAAAGTTATCTTACTATTTTCAATTGTGTGAGTGTATAACACCATAGCAAATAACATACGACTAATACAAGCACTTACCTCCATAAAAAGTAATTCACTGTAATTGTTAGGACGTTTGTCTATAAATAGAAATATGCGCACATAGTTTTTAAATTTTATTGTCTTTTTACAACATCAAAACTTATGCAAAACTTATTTTCAATTTTACCAAGTTTTAATTGTTTATATTTCAACTGCGCAAATTACGTCATTATTTCTACACAATTCATTTTGGATGGTTTAAATTCACTAAATTTCTGTCTTCACATTTTACTTACATTTAATCTTATTAGAAAGATCCAAAATGATTTTCATAAGTTACTAAAATAGATCAATACATATTTTCAATATTGATTTACACCAAAATATAAGCCTTGCATTCTAAATAGAATACATTTAATTTAAGGTCTCGTTCACGGCAACTGTTTGGAACGGGTAAAACACAAATATTCGAGTTAATTAATTGGATTCGATGTTTGCATAATTTTTCGGTGCGCGTCGCGCAACTGAAATTGCGGTTTATTTCGAAACGGATTACATTATAAATACTGGTTAGTTAACGGCGACAAAATGATTAATATTTTAATAATTATTTTTGCGCTGTGTATATTATATTTGTTAATCGTACGCGATGAGAGTGAAAAAAATGTGTATGTACGTGGGAGCTTTATTAAAGCAAACAACAACAATAAAAACGAAACACGCTGTGAAATTTTAGTTTTGCACGATACACTAATATTTATTTTTAATTTGATCACATTTATATAATTTCAACAGGAATATTCTTCTTTGTTATCAATCTACATATACATATTCTTCAGTTTTTTTTTTTCAAAAACAATTTTTAATTAGTCGCAAATTAAATGTATGTTCTTTTTTAGCTACTTGACAATAACTATTGGAAACAGTAGGTAAATTTGGATACTGGATATATTAAGTTAAATTGTAATTTAATTACAAGTAGATAATTACGACCATCAGCAATCTTCAAGATTGATTTTTAGAAAACTAAAGAATATCAAAGATTTACTAAAAAAAAGTAATATTA